CATGAGTTGGAATGGACTTGACAACACCCAACAAGAGAATCAAGTTATAAAACCAAAAATTCAAATCTTTAAACCTTAAAATGCAACTTACACATCTTCCCAGTCTCTATATACAGCCTGCAGGTTTGAACGGTTCTTTTTAAGGGCCTCCTGCACCCCAGGTATTCGAACGTCACCTTGTGGGGTCCTGATAAGCCCCTGGGCACTATGGCTCAAGGAGGGCAGTTGCGTTGCACTCCCACACCGATCACAGACAGGGCATGGGGCCTCACTGGAGGAAGCCTTTCCCATGGGACTGGAGCTTCCCCACAGCAAGCCGGCTTTCTTAAAGGAGCCTTGAAACACTGAAGAAACGAGTCCTTCCCACACCCGGAGATCCCAGCACAGCCCAGCGTCCCTGGACAGCGTCCTGGATGTGCCCAGGGTTCAGAGAGGTTAATGGCCTGGCCTGGAGTCACACAGGAAGCTCCTAGCAGATGGGGATGGCCTTGGAGACCAGATCCCAGTCCAGAAATGGTAGCCCTTTTGCCTCAGGAAGACAGGCAGGAAAGCCCAGGGGACCACAACCAGCTGCTGATTCACCCATCTCTGGCCCTCAGGGTGGGAGATTAGGCAAAGCAGTTCTAGGGGCTGGCAGGAGGTCCTTCCTGCAGGCCTGTTTGCATAAGAGACTGTGGTCAGCACCTCCTTCCTGCAGGCCTAGCGAGCTGTCACTCGCTGCAGCTGATACCACCTCCATCACAGACTTCAAGGCAGAGCTGGGAGCTAAGGCTGCAGGGCTGGTATTTGCAATGCCCCCTCCCCCACACACATCCTGAACATTAAAGGTGGAGAGCCTTCAGATTGCAGAGCAGGGACCCTGAGGTCCTCCAAGGACATGGTCGCCTCTGCTTCCAGATAGCGAGATCTCAGCATCAAAGAAGCAAGAGGCCTGGAGCTGCAGCATTGAGTTCAAATCCAAGCTCCTCTCCTTATTAGCTGTGTGACCCGGGACCAAGTACACGGCCTCTCTGAGCCTTAATTCCCTATCAGTGAAACAGAAGTGTTCCTTCCTCAGGGATTCCGTAATAGTTCCTAGCAATAAACAGGTGCTATTTTACAACACAAAGAGCTCTGGTGGCATAGTGCCTAAGGCATCTGACCGCTAACCAGAAGGCTGGTGGTTCAAACCCACCAGCCACTCCATGGAAGGAAGACTGGGCAAACTACTTCCATAAAGATTCACCACCTTGGAAACCCAGTAGGGGGTTGCTGAGTTGAAATGGTTTGGTTTTTCAGTTTGGTATTTTACGACATACATCAAAACATTATCATTATTATTATACTATTATGTTAAAGATGTTTTAGCATATCTGGAAGTGTCTCTTAAACTTTTTTATTTTAATTTTTTTTAACGCATAGGAAGGTACTCTGCACACAGTCCCTGGATTCTGAGCTCTGTTCCTAAGTTTGTCTTTAAGTGGAATTTGTATTAAGTTGGAACAGTTCAGCCTGGTTGTGTCTAATGTCAGTTAGACTGGTGTGTATCGTGGGAGAGACACCCGAGGCCAGGTGGAGAGAAGCCGGGTGGTGCAGGACTCCCTGATTAGTGGGGTGAGGAAGAGGGGTGTCTGCTGAGCTGCTCCAGGGAGTTCACCATCTTGGGGCCTCCTGTTCACAGTGCCACCCACAGAATCACTGACACTTGGTACTTGTTGGAAATGCAGAGAGCCTGGCCCCACCCCAGAGCTGCTGTTTTAACAAGACTCCCAGGCAATCGATGAGGCACATTCAAGTTCCGTAAATGCTCAGTAAGTCCTCACTGAGGCCCCGGATGGAGTCAGAGGCTCAGATGCTGGCACCCGAGAGTGGGCGAGAGAGGCCCATGGGGCCTCACAGCACCTGCTCTCCCTCCCCCGGGCTAGACACCCAGGTCTGGGGCATTCCCAGAAAGTGCCCTCTCCACCTGGCCTACTGAGTGATGGACCGCCAGCCCCATTCACCCAACCCCTACCCTACACCCAGCTCACTCGCCCTGTGCATGTCTGCTCACTTTAATCTGCAGCTCAAATCCTGACAGTAGGTACGACCATACCCACTTCACAAAGCAAAGAGGCTCAGAGAAGCAAAGCCAGTGCCCTAAAGTCACACAGCCTGTGCACAGCGGATTGGAATTCAGTTTGCCTCCAAATCTGAATTTTGCCACTGCCTCCCTCAAGTCGAAAGAGTTAAACAGATGTGGGATTTGACTTCAGGTTTCTCCTCCAAGGTTGGATCTGACCCCAGACCAGCAACAAGGAGAACTGCAAGGCAGCTTCTTACAGGGCTGGGGGCACAGCCGGCAAATTATCTTGAGGAGAAAGGGTTTCCTGCCTTCACCCTCCCCCACCCCGGGACTGTGAGCTCCAAGGCAGCGGTTGGTCAGTACCAGCATGCAACACAGCGCAGGGCTCCTCAACGAGGCTCCACCCCCTCGCACTCTAGGAAAACAATTTGCATTTACAACCCTTGTCACTGTGATTGGCTGATACTTAGGCACGTGACTGTATCAGAGCCAATGAGAGGCTTTTGCTAAGTACATTCTCTCCTTGCCTAGGTTTAGTGGGTGAGCTGCACAGAGTTTGTTAAAAGGTGTAAATTCTGCCTTGAATTCCACCTTGGATAAAATTAAATTGAGAACAGAGGCCCCAAGAACCTTGAGACCATCAAAATCTGAGCTCTTCACACTGATGCTCTGAGAACACAACGCACTGGGTTAACAATATGCTTTTGTTTAAACAGCAAGCGAGCCCTGATATATACATGCCAGTTACCGTGAAACCTGAATTTGTTTACGAAGAAGAAGAAAGCTTTCCTGGACCACGAAAAGCTTTATTTGCAAGGACTACCCACCCGTCGGCTTTACACCTTGAATGGTGATGACAGAAAACTGCCTGTGAGGAGGCCTGTGGAGAAATCGTTCCACCTCACGTGGGACACTGCCTGCGCTCAGTCTTAAGCTTCCTCACCACCTGGTGACGAGCCACTTACTGACCTGGACTTCTCTAATCTAGTCCTAAGTAACTAACTCAAGCAGCATGGAAGATGAACACTCTGAGAGAAAGGAAAATAATTCAAAGGATTCTAGCTTATGAAGAGGGAACCTAACTCCTTCTAAGGGTCAACTTTAAACACACAGAGTGGGAGACCTGCTGCCCGTGACAGGAACCCAAGGCTGCCGTCCATGGACCATCTTGTCTGAGGATGGAATGGTTACTGGAGACAGCAGAGGTAAGAGGCAGACCACTGAGACGATGTCTGAGTCCCTCCAATCCATCTCTGTGTGCCCAGCAGCAGGCACGCACCTGGCCCCTGGCAGGTATTCACTGTGCATCTCCGATTCCATGCAGTGCCCAGGAGCCGTACATCCCGTCTGAGGAACCGTGGGCCATGTGGCAGGAAGGGCAGCTCTTCCTTTGCCCCCGCTGTAATTTTTCTAGTCCCAACAGAAACAGATGTATCTCTTTTCCTACTACCTGAGAACATCTTGTTGTCAGAAGAGCAAGAAGAATTAAAACAACCGCACATTCTGAAAGGTTCATGGGTGGTGCGAATGGCTGGTGCTCATCTGCTCATCTAAAGGTTGGTGGTTTGAACCCACTCAGCGGCCCCGTGGAAGCGAGGCCTGGAGATCTGCTTTTGTAAGACGGCTGCCAAGAAGACGCTCTGCAGCCTTCTGGCACACGGGGTCACTGTGAGCTGGAACCAACTCCATGGCACCAGCCTGGGTTATCTTACAGGTTATGAACCAGCAACTGCTCTGGTGGCTACATGGTTTTGTGTGGGTATGACTACCCCAAATCCACCCATCAACAATCATGTTGTTGCTATTGTTGTTATGTGCTGTCGAATCGGATCCGACTCATAACAACCCCTCCTTGGGTTTCTGAGGCAGTATCACTACGGAAGTAGGATTGCCCAACCTTCCTTTGGAGGACTGGCTGGCGGGTTTGAACCACCAGCCTTCTGGTGAGCAGTCAAGTGCCTTAGGCACTATGCTACCAGAGATCCTATCAACAGTCACAGCAGCTTGAAACACAACTGCCCCAAACAGGAAGCAGCCAAGATGTCCTTTCAAGAGGTAAATGGATAAACAAACTGTGGTATATCCATACAATGGAGCATTACTCAGCAATCAACATAAATAAGCTTCAAGCCACAGAAAGGGCAGAACCTTACATCCATGTTGCTGAAAGAAAGAAATCAGTCTGCAAAGGCTACACCCTTCCAACTCAATGACATTCTGGAAAGGGCAAAGGTATGGAGACATTAAAAAGATGAGTGGTTCCCGGGGGCTGACGGTGGAGGAGGAGAGAGGCCTGACTAGGTGGAGCAGAGGGCGTCATGAGGGCAGTGAAACTATGCTGCATGATACTGTCATGTGGACCCGTGACATCATGTGGTTGTCCAACTCCATAAACGGATGCAATGCAAAGAACCCTAGTGTAAACCATGGATGGCAGTTAATAACGTATCAGCATTGGCTCTCCCACTGTGGCAAGGCATCACACTGCTGCTGCACCACGTTAGTAACGGGAAACAGGCCACGGAAACTCCGTGCACTTTGTTTTTCTGAAAACCTAAAACTGCTGTAAAAAATTGAACTAACAACCACCACCACCACTACCGAAAACTACAGGTTTGTCCCAGGAAACAGGGCAACCCAGGGGTTTTTCCAGAGCTCCCCGACCTCCAAATAACCAAACCACACCCCTTGCCTTTGAGTTGATCCCGACTCACAGCAACCCTGTAGGACAGAGGAGAGCTGCCTCTGGCGTTTCCAGGGCTACAAATCTGTATGAAAGCAGACTGCCACGCCTTGGACGTGCAGAGCAGCTGGTGGGTTCGAACCACTGACTTTTGGATGAGCTGTAGAGAATTTAATCATGGTGCCACCAGGGCTCCTCCCTCATCCTCAGAGAAAGAGAAATCCACAAGGGTCTTGGATCCACCCAAAGCCCAAACCCAGTGGCAGATCTTACCGAATGGTGGGCTGGTCTCCACTCAGCTGCTTAAACCGCCGATGGAGCTGCTCAATCTGGTCCGAAGAGACTGAAGATGGAAAAAAGGAAACCGTCAGGGATCCTGAACTTGGAGCTCCCAGAGGGAGACTGGAAGTACTCTCCTGGCCCTCCCTCTTCCCCCAACCCTGCCTTCAAGAATTCTCAGGTCGTCACCCACGTGACACAGCAGGACTCCGGATGGAAACGCTAAGGGAGGCTTCTGATTCTTTCTGGCAGCTCAGGGTTATTGGTCCCAGCGCCCTTAACAATAACACAACGGTTACTGATGACAGCAGCCCCTGAGACAGGACCTGTGAGGACCAGGCTCTTCTCTCAACCTTTCTCCTCCCCGTCTACTTAAGACTGTCTTGCATCTGCTTGTCTGACTTTCCCCTCTCCCGCTTCTAAAGGTGGATTTGTTTCCAGCGGAGGAAGAGGATTTGTACAGACACAGATTACGACATGGATGAGTGAAAACCAAAAATACCAAACTCACTGAAACCGAGCTGATTCCAAGTCATAACAACCCTAACAGGACAGAGTACAACGGCCCCCAGAGTGTTTCCAATGCTGTCACAATTTTAATCGAGGCAGACTGCCTCATATCTCCTCTGGAGCAGCTGGTGGAGAAGAACTCCCGACCTTCTGGTTAGCAGCCAAATGCTTTAACCATCGTACAACCACAAGGGGGAGGAGAGTAGCTCCAGCTGGTGTTGGGAGTGATACGGGAGGCGTGTTCTGAGAACACACGGAGAATCTCACAAGGAAGTGGTAGGAAAAGAAATAGAATTTTCTGATCATTGTTGCTATGGACGATGCATTTAGCTCTGGTGGCATAGCGGGTAAGGCACCTGACTGCTAACTGGTAGGTCAGCGGTTCAAACCCACCACCTGCTCCGTGGAAAGATGACTGGGTGGTCTACTTCCGTAAAGACTGACAGCCTGGGAAACCCAATGGGGGCTGTTATGAGTCAGAAATTACTCAATGGCAATGACTTTGGTTTTGGAGTTTTTCTGACAGACTTAGAAAACCTAAGTGTAGGAGTCTTTGTTTTTTATTCTTATTTTTGGCTGTTGGGCCATGTTTCTTCCACAGAGCCACTTCAAGACTGGACCTTGTGGATTCTAGCTATCATAAGGGTTGCATACACACGTGAATGGGTATTTTATGAAAAAGCACCATGCTGAGTACTTAACATGCACCTGGTCCCTTAACCCTCCTAACAGCCCCGTGGGTGAGCAGATATAGTAAAGCTGCAAAAGCCAGAGCCTGTGTAAGGAGGAAGCCCGTCAGAGAAGGCAGACTCAAATCTTTTCCACTAACAGAGAGGACAGAAAAGTGGTGAGACTGCACCCTGTCAAGGGCAGACAGCTCCCGAGATCCAGAAAAACAAGACAGTCTCATTGAGTTCTGGCTCTCACAGGCTTTACTGTGCTATTATCTCTGTTTTATAGGTTTAAAAAATGCAACCCAGAAAGGAAAGTCACTTCCTTAAGAGGACATACACCCAGTAATAGGATTGTTGGCTCAAATGGTTATTTCTGTTTTCAATTTTGCAAGGAGGCACCATACCATTCTCCACAGTGGTTGTACCATTTTACGGTCCTACTGGCAGTGGATGAGAGTTTCAAACCCTCCACACCCTCGCCAGCATTTGCTGTCTTCTGTCTTGTTGAACTTTGTTGTTATTGCTGGGGTGAGATGACACATGTGTATTTGTGTGTGTGACAAAACTGTCCCTATATACAACAGAGTTAATAGGGAGCAAAGGTATGTTAACTTCTTAGCCACAATCACAAACCTTGAGGGAGTGAGTTGCTGGGCCTGTGGGCTCAGGACCATGATCACAGGGGATGTAAAGCTCCATTGGCATAGAATAGTTCACGTAAGTACTGTTCTACATCCTACTTTGGTGAGCAGCGACTGGGGTCTGGAAAGTCTGAGAACAGCCATCTAAGATGCAACCACTGCCTCTCTTCATTTGGAGCAGAGAAGATGGAGAAAATCAAAGACACATGGAAACAATTAGTCCAAGGGCCTAGCAGACCATGTGATCCTCAGCCAATACGACCATGAGACCAGAAGCACTAGATGGTGCCCAGCTACCACTGTCAACCACTCAGAGGGGGATCGGTGCAGGAGATTCTGGGTACAGTGGGAGAACAATGTGGAACAAAACTCAAAATCATAAAAAAGACCAGGATTACTGGGCAGATAGAGCCTGGTGAGACCCCTGAGACTATGGCCACTAGTCACCCTTCCGGTCTGAAACTGAACTCACTCCCACGGCTCAACTTCAGCCACACGCTAGGCCCACAAGGTAAACAGTTACACCAGGGTGACACTATACTCATCAGAAAAACCACCCACAGGAGATAAGAAGATAAGCATTTGTATAGGAATAAGGCTCAGAAGGCAGAAATACATAGGAAAGAGGAACACAGGGACAAAGTTGGAAAAGAGCTGTTACATTGTGGGCACTGCAACCAATACCACTAAACAAAAGTTTCCAAAAAATTGAAAAAAAAAAAAAAGCACACAGGTAGGCAGTAGTAGGACTCAATCCCCATGCCTGTCTGACTCCAAAGCCCGCCCTTAACGGTGACACGATGCTGCCTATTCGTCCCGGACTTCTCAGGGTTCCACATCTTTAGGTCTGACTCCTGCAAGACTGTGTGTAGCCCAAACAAAATTTCCCAAAACAGCGGCCGAGCTGGCAACCTGCTGTGTCCTGCCCAACCTCTCGGCATCTCCCAGCCTCAGGCAGCTGCTCTCCTCTGGTTCTAGAGACAGCCGACTTCCGGGATCAATTGGTCCCCTCACTCTTGTTTTTCATTGGTCTGTTTTTGTCTCAGGCTCAAGCTGTAATCTCTTCAGGAATCCACAGCTCCCACCCAGGCTTCTCTAATCCAAAACCCACTGCCACTGAGTCAATTCCGCCTTAGCACAACCCTGTAGGACACAGTAGAATGGCCCCAGAGGGTTTCCAAGCCTGTTCAACACTTAACCCCTGTGCTACCAGGGCTCCTTCCAGGCCTCCCTAGCAGCTAGGATATATGCATTATGGCTGCTGACCTGGCCAGTGGCTCCCAGAACCATGTCCATGCATCTCTTCCTCATGACACCCTAGAAAGGAACAGGACATTGAGTCCCACGTTCAGAAGTAGACACTGACACTAGGAAGGGTTAGGGGCAATTACAGCCCTTCTGGTAGAAGATAGGGCTGTGTGTGTCTCATGAATGTCAGCCCCACTACCTATCTGTCAGTCTGTTGCACTGGGATGGCCTGTGTGAGGCTGCAAGCTATACCACCCATATTTCAAACAGCAGGAGGGTCACCCATGGTGGAAAGATTTCAGCAAAGCTTCCAAGGTAAGGCAGACTGTCAAGAAAGGCCTGGCAAGACTTCTAAAAAAACAGCCAACGAAAACCATATGGATCCCAACAGAATCCGACTTGGGTCACTTGCTTCGGACACATCATCAGAAAGGATCAATTGCTGGAGGAGTGTATGATACAGGCCTTCAAACATCCCCAAATGGCCCCTGCACTACCATCCTAAAGGCTGTACTCCCTCCCCTTGGCTTCGCTTCTGTGTACATTTTGGACGCAGCTGAGCTTGTAGCCGCTGGCGCCAGCACCTTATCAGGCAGGAACATCTACTTGTTATCACCAGTGTAAAGAGACCTATTGTCAGCTGGAACATCTTGCAATACCTCCAGAGGGGAGCTGGCCACCTGCATGGGCTGCTAGCCACACTAGCGTGGCTTGTCATGCAAA